AAAAAAAAAAAAAAAAAAAAGAATGCTGTGAACCATGATCCATGATCGTACCCTCCTACTCCAGCCTGGGTGACAGAGTGAGACTCCTACCAAAAAAAGATCATTTGGGAAACACTGCAAGCCCTGTTTTCCTCTTAGAACTTCACCATGCATGGTAGCATAATATAAGCTCTGAGAAGTACACAGAAAAGAAACTTCTCTAACTTTCTAGATCTTAAATACTAGCAATTATAGCTTAATCGAAAGTTGCTGGTAACTTTCTGTTCCTTTGAGAAACAGTGATATCAGCCTTATAGATTATTCTTTCTTTTTCCTTTTTCTTTTTTTTAGAGACAGGGTCTTGCTCTGTTATCCAGGCTGGAGTACAGTGGCACAATCATAGCTCACTGTAGCCTAAAACTCCTGGGATCAAATCCTCCCACCTCAGTTTCCCAAGTACCTAGGGTTACAGGCATGAACCACCATGCTGAGCTAATTTTAAAATATTTTTGCAGAGACAGGGTCTCACTATATTGCTTAGGCTGGTCTTAAACTCCTGGTCTCAAGCAATCTTTCCGCCTCAGCATCTCAAAGTGTTGGGATTATAAGCATGAGCCACTGTGCCCAGCCAATTTATTTTTTCTTTTAACCCTTTTTGTAAAGTGCAAAGTCTAGGTAGTTTTGAAGATGGCCGGTAGGACACATTGTCTAAACATTTGCTTTTATATAAGAATTTTATGTTACTTGATGAGCAAATCAGCTCTTCTCTCTCTCCCGCTCTTGTTTTCTCTCTCCCTCTCTCTGGATCCACTTACACTCTGCATCAGAGATCCTACTTCTGTGATCATCTTCTGCTTGCCTGGGCAATGGCCATAATATGGTCTCTCGTCTCCTGCTAATTTAGCCAAGAATAGTCACCTGGCACAAAATGGGAGTGGAAGCAATCAATTGGCCAGCAACTTCTGACTTGTGTGACCTAACTAAAAAATAAGACGCCCAGCCTGGGTAACATAGCGAGACCTCAACTCTACAAAAGTCAAAAAATTAGCCTAGTGAGTGTATGCCTGTAGATCCAGCTACTCGGGAGGCTTGGGCAGAAGGATCACCTGAGCAACAGAGTGAGACTGACTCAAAAAAAAGAATGAAATCAGTATTTGGTAGGATAGAGGGCACAGATGCATAAAACGGAGCTGAGTCCAGTTAATGACAAAGGACTAGACTAGAATGGGTGTCGATGATCACCTATGCTGAGGTCCCAAAGCTGTCTTGAGTCCAAAAGCAGGTTCACTGAGGGATGTCCAGCCATGTCACTGCTCTTATTTGAGGTTAATATTTCCTACTATGACTCTTGTATTAAAATAGCTTGGGCCGGGCGCAGTGGCTCACACCTATAATCCCAGCACTTTGGGAGGTCGAGGTGAGAGGATTGCCTGAGCCAACGGGTTCAAGACCAGCCTGGGCAACTTGGCAAGACCTCATCTCTACAATAAATCAAAAAATTAGGCAAGTGTGGTAGCACATGCCTGTAATTCCAGCTACTTGGAAGGCTGAGGCAGAAGGATCACCTGAGCCCAGCAGGTCAAGGCCAGAGTGGCTGTGAGCATGCCACTGCACTCCAGCCTAGGGTACAGAGTGAGACTTTGACTCAAAAAAAAAGAGAAGCCATTACCACTCAGGGCTAAAGGAACAAGGAAAGGAAGACATCACAGGAAATCATCAGAGCTGTGGGCCAGCAGCCCACAAACCATTTGTGACTGTCCATGATAAGGTCAGAAACTGAGTTAGCATTTAGAAACTTCCATAGTGATTTAACAAACTAATGTTACATTTGTTGAATCAAATAATAATAAACTTGGAGATTATATTTTATACGTCTTTGGGTTTTTAATTTCATTTTTCTAGTAATTTATTTTTAA